ACTGCAGATTCTTTGAAGTCAGAAGCATCTGCAGTAAAAGGACTTAAGTTTTGTCTTTTCATGTTGTGAAGTGTTAAGTTTTTGCTTAACTTGACTTCTGGATAATTCAGCAGGGTACCTACACTTAAATACTGCTTTGCATTAACTATTTTAAGAGTGATTTTCCTTTGCAAATTTAATTTTGGTAAATTTGATTGTGGCATTTATAATTCAGTTGATTAAACTAAGGTTGGAATAGCATAGATTGAGAGAAGTTTTACAGATTCTCAAAGGGAATTAATTTTGTGATTTTGGAAAATCTCATGTTTAAATTTGACTGATTATTTAAATTAATCTATGCTGAATATTCTAGATATTTGTGGGCACTGAATATAGATTAATTTATTTTCATACTTTTCAGTAGAAATCAAGGAGCACCAAAGTTCCTTCTGCAGTCAGAAAGAGGGGAACTACATTTTGTAGAGACAAGGTCTTTGCTGACTACTTATTGGGAAAATGGCAGTATAGGCTTCTATTTAAAGAGCTTTTCAGCTGTATTAACTGAATTAGGAGACTGTTGTCAGCTAAGTTTTTGCTTTTTCAGACCTTTCCTGAAATTATTTTATCCTTGGTAGTTGTACGTACAATTTTAGCTGGAGCATCTTCTGGGCTTCTTGTAATAGCCTTTTATTGGAGTAATCTCTGCTTTTTACTGGCTGTTTTTTTCCTCCATTGATTCTTAGGATTATTAGATTCCTGTAAGATTATGGACATTTTCCAGAGCTGCATAAGGTACTAAAATTAAATGTCTTTCTCCCCTTTCCCCCTGTCCCCTGCTTTTGAATTTAGCAGAAATTAATGTTGGGACAGCAGTACCCTAATAAATAAATGTAAATGCCACTGTCAGCCAAGTAATCAAAATTTTTAAGTCCCAGAAAGTACTTGAAGTCAAGACTACAGTTGCAAGCCTTTTATGTGTTTTTATCTTAAGCTGGTAAAATGGACAGTTTAGCCACAGTTTACACCAACAAAAGTAGTTTGTATAGTACAGTTTATTCTAGCCTTTGTTTCTTCCTTCCTTTCCCCACCAGCAGTCAGCTACAGAGGCAAATGCTAGTTTTGTATTATAACTGTATTAAAAAAAAAAAAACAAACAACAACAAAACCCCCCAAACAATCTCTATGAATTCTGTTCCTGACTGCAACCGTTCCAGAAGGTGGTGGTTAAAGACAGTTAAGTGTCTTTTCCCAGATGTAGAAATGTCAAATATCACAGAACTGTTAGGAAATTAGGGCTAAATAATAGATAAATAGATCAAAACTCTTGTCAGGATTACTGCAGATTTTTTTTACTCTTTGTACACCTTTGTATTCTGGTGTTCTCAAACCTTTTCCCCAGAGAGGGGCATGTTATAGGAGATATCTCATTATAGCAAACAGAGCCCTAATAACATAAATAGAAAGTGAATAAAAGTAAATTTAGTCTTGACGTAAGAGCCAACTCTAATGACAAGAGGAATAGTTAGGCAGGTTTTGTGTAGCAGTTCTCATTTGAACTCAGATTAATTGTCTTTATTTAAACCTTGTATTGTGAATGGTTACAAGCTTGATGCAAGTCATGGATAAAAGCTTTTATGCTTTCTTTATAGATGTGAAAGTAATTTTTTTAGTTGTTCGTTATGAACCTGAATTTTGAAGTAGTAACTGTAATAGTTTACTTGGGAAAGCAGTATTGTGGAAGCTTTTGTAGCTGTTCTCTAGCTAGCTAGAAAGATTAAAAATTTTAACTAATCTAGTGTAATTATCTGTAACAATTATTTTACAGTCTGTATATACAGCCTTTTAAATTATTCCTCAAACAAATGCTTTTTGAAAGTCTTTGTGTCTCTCTGTATCTTAGATACACTTGAGGGGTTCTGTCTCTGAGCAGTACCCACAGATGTGACTTTGTCATTGCATACAGACTGGAGAACTTCTTGTGCCTACTTTGTCCTTTTTTGTGTGTTGCATGAAAGGAAGTATCATTGGCATGCTGCTCTTTTTATTTTGTCACCGGGCAAGGTGGTCACTGCTAGCACTGGACTAGCCTTGGTTCACATTTAGTGATTAGTGAAAAATGCTTGTGCTTTTAAGCACTTTCAGTCCATCTGTGATTCTTTAGTGTCACTGGGGGTACACTCGAGATATCACTCATATCCACCATTACAGTTTCCTTCCACTTCCTGTTCTCTGTCTTTATCAGAACAGGCAGCTGCTTATCAGTGATCAGAAGCCTAGCCATTTTACAGCAGTCCTTGTACCTGCTGTGGGCCTCTTTTCACTCTTTGAATGGCAAGGCCTCAAGGTGAATGCTCTGTAACTACATTTCTTCCCTGCTTCTGAGTCCCTTTTGATACTGACTTTATTACCTGGTGAGGGAGAGTGGCTTTCATTCTCACTTCCTTTCCTGATAATGAGGATTAAGACAAGAAAATCAGAGCCAAAGCATTTGTGATTTTGAAATCTTTGCCTTTCCCTAAGGAGTCTTAGAGAACTACCACTTTTGGATCTGCTGGTAAAGAATTTCAGGTGCTCAGTTACTCCAAATGTCAACACCCTTGAAATGAATAGTAGGTGTTAGTTTGATTTTTTTTTTTTTTTTTTTTTTTTTTTTTTTTTTTTTGTGCTGGAGTGAGAGGAATCTTCCTTGACAGCAGAAAGACCTTTGAGGGGGGAGTGTTGGTTGAGTCACTTTCAACAGTGAGAGTCTCAATGCTGTCAGTAGTTTGGGCTGAAATCTGTTGTCTTGATGCAAATTGAATTGCCTTCATCAAGATGTTTGCATGCCACTGCACATGCTCCCATTGGGTGGGGCTTTGAACTCCAGTGGGTTTGAAATCCCAAAAAGGGGAGTTAATTCTTCAGGGCCCTCTGAAGTTTGTAACACAGGGCTGCTGTGGCCAGCACTTTGGTCGTTCAGCAGTTTAATTGCTGATGATCTCCTTGTGAAACTTCTGTCACATTTCCTTCAGCTGGACAATATCCAGATTATGATGGCTTCTCTTTATTCCCTTCTCTTTCCCTCTGTGCTGGGTGTAGAGTAACACCAAATTTATCCCCAGAGAGGTTCATGAGCTCCCTGTGAACCAAAGAATACTTACATTCAAGAGTACCTGCATTTAAGTTTTCTCCAAAGAGCACATTCAGTGAGTACAAGAGTACAAGCCCTTCAGATAGTCAGTGTAGGGTAAGACTTCTCATTTTATGTCAGGGTAAATTGATTGGTCCGAAGTAATGTGTTTCCATGAAAAAGCTGTTACAGTGAGTAACGGATTGTATGACAGCCTGCTGTGTTACCACAGTGATCGACAGTTGCCTGGGCTCAATCATTTGATGCAAGGATTCTGTCTGCACTTGAATCACAAACCATGAAATCTGTGTTGAGAACAGTTGTTGCTAATGTTTAGCTAATTGCAGTGTTGAGAAGATGTGAGAATTGCTACAGTGGTGGTGAGATCATTTTGCACAGGGGCAGTCATTGATGTAGTTCTTACTTGCAGTGAGAGAAGCGTTAGACTGGGATTGACTGTGCCCAAGCCAAGGTGTACAGGTTTACTGAGATGTGTGGTTTAGTGCTGATCTTGGTGTTTGATAATGTAAAGCCTACATAGACCGTCCTTCCAATTTTTGAAAGGTGTTTTGGCTCTTCATACATGCAGGGTGTATTTTGTGGGCGTTTTTAACTGTAACTTTACATTTACCCTCTGTAACATACAGTAAAGCTCCACTGCTGTTTGAAAACAACACTTTTAGTTCTCTAGATGCATGAATATTACTCTGAAACCTGACTGAAGAATTCTAATTTTTTTCTTTAATAGAACTTACTTGTGAAGTGAGCATATCTTTTGAATATAATTAATGCATAAAAGCTACAGTTTAATGTGGTAATTAGGAAATTATTCTGAGGCTAGGGAAGGAAGGGAGCTTGGAGACTTGTCTTCTGTTGCTTTAATATTGCCCAGCAAGACTTTTTTGAAAGGTCTGTCTTTCCTTATTCTCTTTGTAATTTAGTCAGGTGGCTTTGAGACAGTTACACACTGACTGGGGAACTCAGTTAAAAAGCTGTGTATGAACAAATTGAGGGAGGGAACCTTAGGCAGTATGTGAGGATAGGTATCTCTTTCAGAGTTAATTTTAGTGATGAATACATGAGTTTAGTTTAAATATGAATAACCTTTTCTGTAAAGCTGTACGCTAGTTGTTTTGTCTTCATTAGAAGTAGACCCAATTCTGTAAAGATGCTGTGCCCAAATCCATTCTTGTTTTTGTACAGCTTCAGTGACTTTGAGTCTCTTCCAAATGTTATATGGTCTGATATCTCCAATTAGGAAGTGAAAAACTTCCTTGTATAGTTAGTTCTGTAAAAGATCTATGAGCAAAACTGAAATGAGAGCATTTAATCTGTGTTAATCAGCCTTCATGAGGGCAGAGTAAGTTATGATTTTGAAATGGACCAAGTAGCCTTAAAATAATAAACACAACTTTGTCCTAGAAAAGGTGAGGAATTAGTGAGGCCCAGGTTTAAAACCCTCCCAACACTTCATCTCAGATATGTTGATCGTTTTTGCTAAAAAGACTTTTTAAAAGCTTTCATTTGTAACCATTTCCTTTCTGTGCTTCATTCCCCATTCAGAGAGTTTAAGATAGCTGACTTTGAAAGCACTTGCAGAAAATGCTGCAGAGCTTTTCTTGACATGCCACTTTTCTCCCCTGTTCTGCCTGCTTAATTTAATAGCATGTGTGTAACTGCTATGATTGCTTGGTGGATTTTCTTAAAGTACCAGCATGTATGTTGTTTGAAAATTACATGTGTATTTGAGAGAAGACTGTTGGAATTTTGATATTTCTACCCTGAGACAAAACTGGTGGAATACTTCTGTAGCTGTGAATTTATCATCTCTGTGCTTTTCCTGTCTTGTCTGATAGTCTAGAACACAAGCAGAAATGTCAGCTTTACAAGAAGTTCTTGTTTTATTTTGCAGGTTTGTTTTAATTTGGAAGTGGATCTCACAGCTTAATGTAAATCAAAGGTGAGTAAGAGTTTTGGGGTCTGTTTTTCTGGTTGGTGTTTTTGTGGGATTTTTTTGTTGTTCCCAAATTCCTTGGGTCCAGGTTAGCATATACTGCTAAACATTCAAAAATTGGTCAGTGAAAATTGTACTGAAACTTATATCTTGATTACTGTAATTTGTGGACATAATGTTACTTCTATGATACCAAAATAGGAACAAAACACACACATCCCTAATATTTAAGATTATGATGATAATTTTGCTTTTCTTCCATAAAGTTATTGTAGTCAAAAAAACTATCAAGGCATTCTGCTGGCTGTTGAGAGACAAAATTATGAGTACTTCAGATTAATTTCATCCTCTGCATATTATTCACCTTGTTTTAGAGTACTGAAAGTGTACTTTGCATTGTCGAAGAAGCGTGTTAAACTTGCACTTATCCTATAAATAAATAACTATATCGGAAATTTGACCAAATACCAGTATAGCATTTCAAATTTTTAATAATGAAATTCTGTTAGGTTTGGTTTTGGCGTTTTGTTTTGTTTTGTTTTCCTTTTCCTGTTCTCAGGAACACTTTTGGGAGCTATCTGAAAGACAAAGTATAGGAAGAATTACTGGTGATACTCATGAGCTGTAGAACTTCAGTGTCCATTTACAATTGCAGAGTGTCTGTCTAGGAAAAATTTTCCGTAACTTTGGCATTTCCCTGTCCCTCCCTCCCCTCCCCCCCCCCCCCCCCGCCCCCCCCTATTTTTTGAGAAAAATAATTTAGGTAAGCCCAGATTTTGTTTCTCTTCACATTACTCGATATTCAACTTCGAGAACACTTTGAACTATAAAATTAATATCTTCTCCATTAAAGTAGGTGAAACATTTAACGAAGAGCAAGTTGTTTTAATCTGTTTTTGCTTGAGTCTTTCAAAAGTATTTTTAGGTAAGGCCCCACAGTTCGGTAAATTTTGTGTTGTGGAGAAAGGGCATGATGGACTTGTATGCACAGGCTTCTGTAACAAACAAAAGTTGGCTTCTCAAGTTTCCTGCTTGCTGTTTGACTAATATGACTTGATATTTTGAAGAGGTGAGAGGGAGACCCTGCTTGCTTAGATGAACTTGTTCTTCATTTCTAATCTCCAGTTAATATGTAGACTTAATGTAGATTTAAAAATGTAGTGTGTGCATTTTAAAATAGATATGACTTGCTTTGTTTTTATGTTCTGCTTTAAAACTTTTTTTAAAGCTATTGTTGTCAACTTTAAGATACTGATTATAGCAGAATGCTGTGTGGGGAATTTAAAATAACTCTTCTGTTCAGTGTTGTTCCTTTGTATAACATATAACTGATTCAGGACTTCAATTATGAATTGTTTTCTAAACTACTAACAATTAAAAGTAAGCTGTACTGCTGTTGTATGCATGTATTTATGCATAGAGGATGTTTACTGCCTTAGCCTGACTTTGTAGCTTTCTAGAATCTGCTTCTTTGAGAAAAGGAATAAATATAACTCTGACAAAGGAAATACTTTTTATTTATCTGAGGATGAGTGTAAAACAAGAATCATGGCTGGGGGAGGGACTTGAATTCACAGGAAGATTTAGATCTCTCCCTGTGTCTTCTAATGTTCTCAGTACTTAATGCTTACAGTTTAAGTTCCATCTCTTCTTAATTTATGTGTTATCTCATTACTGTTTTAAATATAGAAAATTAGTTGAGAAATCTAATATATAAATAACTGAGTGTGTTCTTTAAGCACAGAATCTTCTGAATGAGACTCCCAAGACCTTTCATCTTAATGGTGGATAGCTGTATATAATAGGAAAAAGCTGGTCTCTGAGGATAAAGCCTGTATTCTTGCACACATAACAAGAGGACAGAAAAATGTGTAAAAGAATACATGGAAACAGTGTAATGACGTTTGATCAGTATTGTTACTGCTTGGAAGGATCCTGAGGTTCTGACAGTTCTGTAAAAATGACAACTGAATAGTCAATAAATCAGTGAAAATATTACACATTATCAGGGAACAAAACAAAAATCAGAACAAAACAAAACCCAGATCCGTTTATACAAATTTGTGGTGTACCATAGATGCATTGCATTGCAATGTGTATTGCTTCTTGAGTACTAGTCTAGTCCTGTGACTGGAAAACAATGCAGCAGAGCTGAAGAAGGTTCAGAGAAAGGCAGCAAGGATGACGGAAACACTTTATTTTAAAGAACAACCTGCATTTCCCAACTGCCTCTGTCTTCTGCCTTTGTTCGCGAGTGTAGTAGCTGCAGCATTTTGTAGACTTCTAAACAAGGAACTTAACTCCCACAACTCAGTGCAGACTTGTCCTTTTGTGTAAGCTTATGTCATTTAAAGCAAAAGCTGAAAATGTGATTTAATGATTTGCTCAAACCTTTTCTTGCACTCTTGACCAGAGTGCATTTCCTAATGAATCTGATAGTGTGCTTTCCATGTAGGTTTTCTCTGAGTAAAGGATTTGAGGGTTTTGTTCTAATTTAAAATAATTTGCTTTCCTAATGCAAATATAAAGGTATGATATCCTGACTTTTGGAAATAAAACCAAAAAATCTATTGCCAGTTAAAAGCACATAGGTGTAAGATACTATTTACAAACAGTGAATGTACTTTATTGGGATAACTGTAATCTTTGTTCTTAGATTTTCTGACTTCCAGACTGCATCTTCTGAGCTCCATACAAGGACCTATCTTGTTTTAAATATGGTGGAAAGTTAGGAACAAGTAATCGTGGTCTCAGTGTGTTAACAGTATGTAATGGGTCACACGTCTGTGTAACAGGAAAGATTGCAGAAGGTAGATGCTTGTGTTGAATTTCCCTGTAACAGTGTGTAGAGCAAGGTCAGATTTTAAGCATTTGAGATATAGGGCAAAACCAGACTTGCTTCCAGAAACTGCATTGGATATATATAGTATTGCTTTACCTAAAAGTAGAGAATGTAATAAATGAATAATGGTACCACAGATGTTAAAGGAGAATAGGTTATATACAGAATTGTGCACAAGATGAATTTGAATATCTGGGATTTGTGTTTCTTTTGGCTCAGACAGAAATCTCATACAATTTTCATATTGTTGATATTATCCTGGTAGTATGAAGTTGAGTTTTCTGCCGTTAAATCACTTACAGTGATGACTTAAAAAAACTAAAACAAAACAAAAAACAACAAAACAAAACACCAACCAACCAAAATGCAATTATTAGGGGAGTGACCTTATCTTTTCTTGTCACTTGGAATTATGAGTTTTGTCTGTCCATCTGGTCATGTGCAATGTTATATAGCTTCAGGTCTTTTAAAAACTCTTATTTCATATGTTCATCAGTAAGGATGGTAACTTTCTCCAAGTTGACAGAATTTTTTCTTCTTAATCTGAAAAGGTACAAGGATTTTTTTCTGGCCTTACCTGGCACTGTTACTTACAATCTTACTCGCTTTTTAACTCCTGATCACTGAAAGAATATAGAGAATGATGAGAGCCAGTTTGCTGGTAAGGGTGAGTGAATATCACTAATGCAATTTGTTACAATAAGGTTCTAAATTAAATCAGTAAAAGCAGTGTTCATTTCAGGTAGTCTTTTTATAATTGGGAAAGATAGCATGCGTTAGGAGTTAAGAAATCTCTCTACATTTGCAGAAGACACAATCTTAAAATTTGTGATACTATTAAAATATGTACAGGAAATAGTTACTGGCCAGAAAAGCAAAAAAGCATGAGAAATTGCTAGATGTGTTTCAGGCCATGATGGATAAAAACTATTACAACTTTAATATAATAGGAAATAAGGTCAGAATTTTTCCAAAGTTGAAAAGTGTGTCATGTTCAAAGATCTGTCTCAATAAAATTGCGTTAAACTGTTCTTAATGTAATTTTAAAGAAAGTTGTACTATAAATCCATTATGCAACATTATCATGTTGTCATACAGGTTTTCATCCATGATCTGTAGGACTGATGCTTCAGGACTAGTTCATGCAGGTAACTAACAATATAGTTTCATGAACTTGAGAAATATTCCTGTAAAAATAGTCAAATGTACCTGACTCCTAAAAATCCTTCCCAGTCTGGTTGTGATCTTTACATACTAACAAAAGTACATTGAATAGCTTATCCAAATAACAAGCTGGATGATTATGCCTTAAGAGGTTTTTGCTTCAGTTACTGAATTCATCTTTCTCTGAAATTTGGAATTATGGTGAAAATAAGACTTCTGTGACCGTGTAGTTGTAATCATTGGGGATTTATATAGAGTTATGGAAAACAGATAGTTATTAGAGTCAGTTCATTGATACGGATTGGATTTGTATTAGAAGAAAGTGTTCTTTACCCAACTGCTCACTTATGTCTGAACAAGAAGACTGAATTGTAGGAAAAACCTTCCTTTTAAATTGGAAGTCGGTTTTAGATTTGGATATAAAAATTCTGCAGGTTCTGCTTTGATTAATCTTAAATGTCTTTGTGCTAGTACACCATTGCTCATATTTGGTGGCTAGGGGAATGTTTTCAATTCTGTGTTCTACACTTGGGGAATAATTAGATTAGCATACAGAATTTCACCACCACTTGGTGGCAGTACCTGGCTTCAAAAGGACTTGTTTCTGAGCAGATAAAGTGACTCTTCTGTAAAACTATCGGTTAAGGAGGAGTAGATTTGTTTTAAAATTTCTAAAAACTAGTGATGTGTTTGAGAAATTAAAATACTTTTTATTTAACCTAGTGGAAGGATTTGCATTTCTCTGTCTCTATGGAAAATCTAGCTATCATGTCTAATATGTAATTTAAGATTATTTCTTGTATTAATAGTATTCTCAGAAGATGTATTTAATGTTCCCCAGTTGAATTATTTTAGCATTTACTTCTAGCATTTTACTTCGATTGAGTAGTGTACTTCAAGTAATCCTAGAACATAAAATTTGCTTCATGGTAGTGTTCTTCATAAGGTTGTCTTTTGCAGTTAAATAGAGGACTGACAAAGCTTCTTTTTTGCCTTCTGA